GAGTGTCACACCCTCCCAGAGCCAGGAATAGGATCCAAGAGTCTTGATCCTCAACTCTTCACTGTTGTCTAGAAAATCATGTAACCCATTGGCAAAGAACATTTAACAGACTCTGCTAGTAACTTTTCACATAGAAGATAACTATCCAGTTTTGCCACTTGTTAGTTCTTTAGCCTGAGTAGTAAAGGTCTACGCTTTGGATCTAAAAGTTCTGGATCCAAATCCTGCTGGAATTTCTCTTTTTTAAATTTTACTTAAAAAAAAAAAAAAAGGTTAAATACAGCACCCTCAACACATCCTCCCGCACCCCTGCCACAGACACACCACACATTTTAAAAATTTAAAATTGCAAAACGAAGTACTCAGAAAGTTAGGAAAAGCAGAATTAACTTTGCCCATGCCCCTATAGGAGTTGTTGCTGAATGAGGATGATGAGATTAGGCTCTGTGTGCAATTCATGTACTAGAAATTAAGTAAAGCTAGCAATGCTAGAGTGCAGTGCTTGTGAAAATTTTACATACTGCATTTTGATTTTTATGTGTAATTTTAGGGGATTTCTTTAATCATCTGTTTGGTAGTCTCAAGTGACAAGATTTAAGATTTTGAGCTGTTGATGGCTGGTTAACACTTAAAGCCTCCGTGAAACCAGCCTTGACTCATCACTGAAGCCTTTACACATGAGACTGAAAACTGGACAGAGTAAATACATTTTCTAAAGTTTTTGGTAAAGTAAGCATTTACTATATTTACTAGTAATGCCTTTTTTTTTCATTTTAAATTAATCCTGTAGTTGGAGAAGGGTTTTCTGTTGGTTTTTTTTAGGGCTGCAAATTAATCGTAGTTAACTCACGTGATTAACTCAAAAACATGAATCGTGATTAATCGTACTTATAACAATAAAATACCAATTGGAATGTATTAAATATTTTTGGATGTTTTTCTACATTTTCAATATTGATTTCAATTACAACACAGAATACAGAGTGCACAGTGCTCACTTTATATTATTATTTTTATTTCAAATATATGCACTGTAAAAATTATAAAAGAAACAGTATTTTTCAATTCACCTCATACAAGTACTGAAGTGCAATCTCTTTATCATGAAAGTGTAACTGACAAATGCAGGTGGGTTTTTTTGTTACATAGCTGCATTCAAAACCAAAACAGTCTAAAACTTTAGATCCTACAAGTCCATTCAGTCCTACTTCTTATTCTGCCAATCGCTATGACAAGTTTGTTTACATTGAGGAGAGATACTGCTGCCTGCTTCTTATTTACAATGTCACCTGAAAGTGAGAACAGACGTTCACATGGCACTTTTGTAACCGGCGTTGCAAGATATTTACATGCCAGATATGCTAAACATCCGTATGCCCCTCCCATGTTTTGGCCACTATTCCAGAGGATATGCTTCCATGCTGATGATGCTCATTAAAAAAATAATGAGTCAATTACATTTGTGACTGTACTCCTTGGGGGGGAGAATTGTATGTCTCCTGCTCTGTTTTACCTGCATTCTGCATATATTTCATGTTATAACAGTCTCAGATGACGACCCAGCACGTGTTCGTTTTAAGAACACTTTCACAGCAGATTTCACAAAGCGCAAAGAAGGTACCTATGTGAGATTTCTAAAAATAGCTGCAGTACTCGACCCCCGGTTTAAGAATCTGAAGTGCCGTCCAAAATCAGAGAGGGACGAGTGTGGAGCATGCTTTCAGAAGTCTTAAAAGAGCAACACTCCGATGTGGTAACTACAGAATCCAAACCACCAAAAAAGAAAATCAACATTTTGCTGGTGGCATCAGACTCAGATGATGAAAATGAACATGCATCGGTCCTCACTGCTTTGGATCGTTATCAAGCAGAACCCATCATCAGCATGGAAGCATGTCCTCTGGAATGGTGGTTGAAGCATGAGGGGACATGAATCTTTAGCACATCAGGCACGTAAATATCTTGCAACGCTAGCTACAACAATGCCATGAGAACGCCTGTTCTCACTTTCAGGTGACACTGTAAACAAGAAGCAGGCAGCATTATCTCCTGCAAATTGTAACCATCCTTGTTTGTCTGAGTGATTGTCTGACCAAGAAGTAGGACTGAGTGAACTTGTAGGCTCTAAAGTTTTCCATTGTTTTATTTTTAATGCAGTTTTTTTGTACATAATTCTACATTTGTAAGTTCAACTTTCATGATAAAGAGATTGCACTACAGTGCTTGTATGAGGTGAATTGAAAAATAAATTTCTTTTGGTTTTTACAGTGCAAATATTTTTATAAAAATAAATATAAACTGAGCACTGTACACTTTGTATTCTGTGTTGTAATTGAAATTAATATATTTTAAAATATAGTAAACATCCAAAAATATTTAAAATAAATGGTATTCTATTATTGTTTAACAGTGTGATTAATCACGATTAATTTTTTTAATCACTTGACAGCCCTAGTTTTTTTGTTTTGTTTTTTTTACATTGTAGAATGGGATCACCTTTTTTTCTCATCTGAATGATAACTTAGTAAATATTTAATAGATTTCATTGCTTATTTTTTCTTGGATTTTGGAATTGTACTTTGTATACACTGACTATATAACTTGCTTATATCAAAATTAATTCACCACTCATTTCTTGGTGGCTCTAATACAGTGGTTCTCAAACTTTTTTGTGTGTGGACCACTTGAAAATTGCTGAAGATCTCAGCGGACCAATTCACGATCTTTCCAAATGTTGTTTGTACTGTTAGCTAACTATTGTAAAGCGCTTTGGATAAAAGCGCTATATAAATAGGGCTACCATACATCTGGATTTCCCCGGACATGTCCGGCTTTTTGCTCTTTAAATAGCCGTCCGGGGGGATTTCTAAAAATCTAAAAATGTCCGGGATTTCCCCCTGGTCGGCTATTTATCGACTGAAAAGCGGCTGACAGGGCAGCCGAGCGCCGCACGCATTGGGGCCTCAGCAGCCAAAGCCCCTTCCCGGCTCCCCCCATCCCCTGCAGCCTTAGTACGCCGCCCGGCAGCGCTGGGGGGGCAGGGCTGTGCGCCTGTGAGGGAACGCAGTGGCGGGGCTAGCAGCGGCGGCCAGAGCCCCTCCTCCGCTTCCCCCCTCCTCCACAGCCTCAGCACGCCGCTCGGCAGCGCTTGGGCGGGGCGGTCCTTGGGGCATGGAGCCAGACACCTGCTCTTAGCCGAGCGGCACAGTAAGGGGGCCGGGGAGTTGGAGAAGGGGGGCAGTCAGGGGACAGGGAGCGGGGTGGATGGGTCGGGAGTTCGCGGGGGGCTGTCAGGGGGGTAGGGGTGTGGAGAGGGGTTGGGAGAGTCAGGGACAGGGAGCGGGGGGGTTAGATGGGTCAGGGGGTCTGGGGGGGCTGTCAGGGGGAGGGAAGTGGGAGGGAGTGGCTAGAGGGCGGGGCTACCCCTCTCCCCGAGTGCCCTCTTTTTTGAAAGTTCAGATATGGTAACCCTAATATAAAAAAACTTAATAATTATTAACGTTCTTTTGTTCTACAAATAAAAGCACACAACTCATATTTTAATATCAGTAGTCCTAACTTTCTAATGCAATGGATGTGCCCTCTCTCCCCCAGCACGGCAGCCACAGAGCTTAGGCTGGGAAGGAGGACTGTCTCTCCCCGGCAGCCGCAGCCCTGGAGGTGGGGAAAATCACCTCTTTCTCTGGCTGCCGCAGCCCTGCACATCCCAAATTCCCACCACCCCCTCTTCTCACCCCACTGCCCCCTCCCACTTACCCCCTATTCTCCCAAGGCCACCACCTCACCTTACATGTGCGTCTTCTCCAAGATCCAGGCACCTAATTAGTGGAGCCATGCCTGCGTGGCTCCACTAATTAGGTGAATGGCCCTTCATTCTCTTATGTGCGGCTGCCCAGGCGTGCACCTTAGAGGGAACTATTCGCGGACCACCTGAATGGAACTCGGTCCACGGACCACAGTTTGAGAACCTCTGCTCTAATCAGTTGTATATTTTAGAGAGGCCCAAAATGGAGGCACCTTGGTGGGACACAGGAATCATCCAAATTTTGTTCCTGAAAAAGTCAATGGCAAAATTCTCAAAAATTTCAGTGACAGTTGAACTGGGCCCAGATTCTCCAAATAAGGTCTGGAAAGGAACTGCTAACTGTAGATTTAGAGCCAAATCCTGCAAACACTGATGCATGCACATAATTTTACATGTAAGAATAGACCCACGGATTTCAATGGTGTAATGCACAGGCATAAGTTTTTGCCGGAATTGAGCTTTCATCAAATATTCGTAACAAAATGCAAAATCACAAAGTTCAAGTAATTTTCTTTTTATAATGCTATCCACTTGAAAAAGAACTGTTTCTTCCAAAATTTTGGCCTAAGAATACAATTTTTTCTATCTAACCACACCCATATTGCTGTGAAAATAGCCTATTTGTTGAGTGAAGGTAGCTTTGCATCAAAAACATGCAAGACTAACATTTTTATGTGACAGAGGGGTAGCCGTGTTAGTCTGGATCTGTAAAAAGCAGCAGAGTCCTGTGGCACCTTTAAGACTAACAGATGTATTGGAGCATAAGCTTTCGTGGGTGAATACCCACTTCGTCAGGCACATGTGGGTATTCACCCACGAAAGCTTATGCTCCAAAACATCTGTTAGTCTTAAAGGTGCCACAGGACTCTCTGTTAATTTTTATGTGAAAAAGCTATTTAACCAAAACCTGCACTTATTGCCCCTCCCAGCTGGATGGTAGAATTTGCCCATCACAAAAAGTCCACAAAGTGATATTTTTGGTGGGATGGAGGAATAGATATCACTAGAAAGATCAAATGTCAAAAAATTACATGATAAAGCTTGTGAATACATGTGTGTCCCCCCATAACACTGGACTCAGTGAGGAATGTGTGCGTGTGTGTCCCAGGGGTGAAAGTAACTGAAAGGACTTACCAGTACGCAGGCCGTGGTCCTAGGGGGCAGGGCCTCAACCGGAAGAGGCGGGCCCTTTAAATCCCCGGGCTCTTTATATCAAGATGTAAAGGACCCGGCGCTCTGGCTGCAGTAGCGGCTCATAGGAGCCCCGGGCCCTTTAAATCACTGCTGGAGCTGTGATGGTAGCTGGGAGCCCCAGGGCTCAGGCGCCGATTTAAAGTGCCCGAGGCTGGGAGCCCGCAGTCCTTTAAATCGCCGCCTGAACCATGGGGCTCCCGGCCACTACCACCACCACGGGGCTCTGGGGGCAATTTAAAGGCCCCGGGGCTCCAGTTGCTGCCCGGAGCCCAGGGCTCTTTTAAATTGCTGGCCTAGGGTAACTGCCCCCCTGCTGGTACAGTGGGCTGTGTATGTTTCTGGGAGATGGATTGTGCAAGGGAAGTTTTCAATATTTTGCATCATCCACCCGAGGTGACACAGAAACAAACACAGCACTGACACCCCCCTCACCCGCTCATCACTGGGCTCCCCTGCCTCCCCCTCAGCAATCCCCCCCAGCACTGGGCCGCCAGAAAACTCCCGCTACCGACCCTCCTCCCCCCCCAGCTCTTTTCAGGCAGCCCCGCCACGCGCGAGTCTCCCTTGGGCCAGGGGAGGGGCGGGGCGAGCGCAGTGCGCAGGCGCTGTCGGCCGGGCCGGGCCGGAAGTGGTTTGAACTGCGGCGGGAGACGGCAGAGCTGATCCGGTCGTAGCGTAGCACTGAGCGCGACCGGCCCCGAGCGGGCAACATGGAGCCTATCCTGGAAGGTACCAAGCCGCCTCGTGGGCCCGTTCGCCAGCGTGTGGGGGCAGCTACGGAGGCGGGGGGGGGGAGATAACAGCTGCTGCTCCACGAGGAGGGTAGCTGGGGGGGAGTTAGCTCCAGGATGCAGCTCTAGGAGGAGGAGGGTAGCTGGAGAAGGGTGTGTGTGTGTGGTGGGG